GAAGCATGTGTTTCGGATGCTGCTGATATAATCAAATGGGGCCTGGGTGGGCGAACCTCTTTTACCACCAAATCTGTTTACTCGTTCCTGAAAAAGAATGTTGCTGGATGCGACTACAGATGAATCTGGAGTGCCAGAATCTCTCTCAAAATTCAAATATTCTTGTGGCAATTTTTTCAGGATGTTGTCCTGACTAGGGATGTGATGAAACACTGAGGTTCAAAAGGGAATCCAAAATGTTCTTTTTGCGGAGGAAGAGAGACCGCACAACACTTGTTCTTTACTTGCCCTGTTGCTAGGATAACCCGGAGGACAGTGGCATGCATGTTTGGCACTGCTTTGTGCCCTGATAATATTTGATAGGCCTATTCGTGGTGTTTTACATTCTTACCTGGAGGGGAAAAATTATATACAGCAGGGATCGCTGCTGTGTGTTGGGCGATTTGGTTGTGTCGCAACAGGGCTACTTTTGAATGCAAACCACTTACAAACCCGTTTGAATGTACCTTCTCTGCTTGTGCCTTAATTTGCTACTGGGCAGGAATGATGAAGCAAGATGACGCGACTGCCATGAGGGACGGGGCGAAGATGCTGAAGGAGAATGCATCAATGATGATGAGGATTTGTGCTGCGAGCCATGAAGAGGCGGCCTGCTGATTCTGCTGGAGATGCGTCCCTCTGGTTTAGCTTGATGTTTGAGTCGCTCTCCCCTGCGTGGGTCTGAAAACTTATGCTGCTCGACTGTCGCGAGCTTGTGTTTTGTGCTCTTTTGGGGCTGACTGGCGCTGGTTCCTAGTTGCAGAAGTATGGCGTCGTCGGGTTTTCGTCCCACAGTGAGTAATCTCGATGGCGAGTGCTCACGGTGGGTTTCCCGGCGATGCGTTGAACTCGCTTCCCCTTTTCTCCCTCTTTGGACTGTTATATTTTCATTATGTTCCAGTAATAGAAAAGGGTAATGCCTGGTTCAAAAAATATATTATATGAGCAAACCTTGACCCACATCATGGAGGAAAATAAATATGTATATTGATTAAGACATGCTAAAAGATATAGGGGAAGATAGAACAGATAGCTTGATCTACTAAAAAAACAAGACAACAACTTTGCACTTTGCATGGTCTATTTCCATCCACAACCCAACAGACAAAAAAAAAAACAGGCCGGCCGGCCGTGTCATCCTAGCAGGCCGATTAAACGTGACAAGCAACTAGCATAAAAAAATCAATCGAGGGATCGACTGAGACTTTGTAAGAAATTAGTCTACTGAGTTTTAGTCGTTCCGTTTTCAATTACACCAATTCATTTGTGTTAAAAAATGGACCCATTGCTAGTTATGACTGACAATCGCTTTTTCTTAAAAAAAAGAAAAGACTGAGAATCGCTATCCATCTCAGTCGCAAAAAAAGACTGAGAATCCTATCCATCTTAGTCACACAAAAAAAGACTGAGAATAGCTACCCATCTCAGTCACACTAAAAAAAATGATTTGTCCCAATTATTATGCGCCTTTTTCCTTTGTTGAGAATCGATCTTTGCTGCTTGCTACTATTTATTTTTTGAGGATCTGCTGCTTGCTACTAACTATGTTCCAGAATTTCTCCGTGATTGTATTATCGGCGAATGTATTACCCTTGAGTAATCAATAAAGCTCCTAAGTTACAAAAACAACTCTGTAGCCTCCATATTAGGTTAGAAAAACTCATTTTTTTGTTAGGCCGGCCTGACCGCTGAGGACAACGATGTGAAAGCATAAAACAGCGGGACCTCATATTTGGCGCTGTCAGCGCCGGTTAGGTCTGCTGACACTCAAACGTGACTTGTAGCGGGCCGGCCCAGCAACATGCTCTCACAAGCAAACGCAAAGAAAAAAAATTAACAGGTTGTGCCGTAGCCAATAAGCACCAGGTCGAACTCAATTAGTTGTTTACTATGAGAAAACAGTGCCATTTGACCATTTCTTTTGTACAACATTAGCATATACTCCCTCCGTCCCATATATAAGATCTTATTGCATCCAATCTGGATGTAATAAGATCTTGTATATGGGACGGAGAGGGGGTATTATATACCCCGTATAAATTATTTGAAAAGAAAGCATAAATTAGAAAATGATTCTTAAAAAGTTGAAAACAACCATGAATTTGAAAAAGTTAACATAATTGAAAAAGGTTTGTAGAAATTGGAAGAAGTTCACAGAAACGAAAAAAGTTCGTGAATTTGAGAGAATTTCATGAATTTGAAAAAACTTCATTAATTTTCAAAAAGTTAATGAAATTTGGGAAGAAAATCATGAAATTTGAAAAAGGTCACGAATTTGAAAAAAGTTCTTGAGCTAAAAGTTTATGCAATTGGAAAAAGTTCATATATTTGAAAAAAAAAGTTCATGAATTAGAAAAAAAGTTTCAGTTTACAAAAAAGGAAAAAAGGAAAAATATAAAAAGAAAAATAAAAACATTTCGCTGAGCAAAATCATTGCTGCAAAAACAAAAAGAAAACCCGCCCGAAGAAGCCTGCGGAACCTACAAAACCAATGGCAAATGAACTTACATGAGACGGCCCGTTTGCTACCTCATGTTGCATGGGGTGTGCGCCAGTTAATCCAATAGTCTGTAAATGGCGCTTAAGGCGACAAATAAGAATTGGGTAAAACAACCCTGCTTAAGAACAAGTTTTTGGACCTGGGCACTTAGGACATCTACAACTGGAATTGGCAAATTCGGACTCCTATATATTTGTGGATGCACCCGTATCGCCGTACGCGTCTGCGGACAGTGACATGACATAATAAAATGTGCCTCCACAATCGGCTCCCTCAACCAAATCCTCAAATTCATACTAGTCTGATGCAATGTTCTTCACGCATGTCATCGAACTACCAAAACTTGACATGTTCTACTAACTAGGAATGAAACGACAATAGAAAAAGTTCATCCACAACCGCCCTTGCCCATGTCATCTTCGTTGCGAAAGCATCGGCCAAAGATGCAAAACGGATCTAGGCGGATCTGCTCACTACCGGATCTCGATGAGAGATCAATCACGTCCACAACACCACACCTCACCCACTGAATGGCCCGGCCTCGTCCTCGTCGGACATCCCCTTGTTGTAAAGCTCGAGATGCCGATGCTCCTCCACGACGAGCTCGGATGCTTCTGGTGGAGCTCAACCATGTATGATTCGTTGGCACACTCCACCTTGATCCGCTCGATGGCATACTGGTTCTCCCGCAGCTAATGGCGGGAGACCAATAAGGGTCGAGGTTGACTATCGGCGGGACGTTGGGGCAGCCCAAGGTGAAGTTCAACTTTGCCTTGCTGTCGTAGATCCCCACTACCTTGATACGATAAGCCCTCGTTGCCAACTCTGCCGATTGGAAGGACCCCACCCAGTACCGGGCGCCGGAGTTTGTATGTATCCTTGATCTCGGACATCTAGGCCTCCCACGACGGCGGTTGGTCAGTGAAGGAGTGGAGTGGGGGCGCCGCAGCGGTCTCGACGCCGGTCTCATTGCGAACCATGGCGTGGATCCGTGCTGCACATCGGTAGCGGCAACCTCCGACGGTGTGTTGGCTTCTGGAGGGTGAATTTGGGTGCGGCAGCGAGGATGAGGTGCGAGGAAGAGAGAGGGGCGCTGATGAGGGGGTGGATGTTTTTCCGGAGAATGAATAAATTCAAGGGCGGACCAACGCGAGGAGTAAAGAATATACTCCTCTAAAGCCTTCAAGGGATCGGCTATGTGTGTTTTAGAACCTTAAAACTAAATTCTTACATCTCTAGCGCTAATATCCTTAATTATACCTCATCTAGCAATTTTAGGTTCTCAAGTCTTATGATAATAGGTGGCTCGTGTGGCTCTTTAAATCGTTCTATGTCAGTCCATCTTGTACTAGCTTGGCTTTTATAGATTTGCCATCAAAGAAATGGTGAAACACCGAGCTGCGAAGAACATAAGATGACGACTTCATTACATTGGCATTAATTTCAAAATTTGTGTATCGTCTGTGTTTGATTTTGTTTTCTCAACTATATCTTGTTTGTTCAATCAATAAAGCCATATGATGTCCATTTCCTGGAAAAAAAAGGCCATGTCTGACAGAGGTGTGTGCAATCAGTGAACAGGGTGGTACGCGATTCTTTTTTTAAAGAGGTTGGATCGATCATTAGAAAAAAATTAAGCCAAATAAAAAGAATATTGTGAGAAATCAAAGCTTCCACCTAAAAGATGCACACGAAAAGATTTCATAAAAAATCTCGCAGAATCGAGGACGGAGTTTCCTTTTGCACATACCAGATCACCCATTAGTAAATTGACTAACTACATCCAATCTTCGAAAAGTCCCAATTGTTTCAATTTTTGAAATGACATAAGAACGAAACCCCCATGAATATGAATATTTGATAAAACCTCTTGCAACAAGGTATACGAAACAGGCCAGCAAAGATCAACACATTACAAGAAGCGGCAAAAATTACCTACAACTACGTGACCATTCTTCGGCATCAGCACCGTCAAAAGGCAGTACACCTTTGTGTCATCATCATCAAGACCCACCCGAAGGCGGGATAAGGATTTTCATCATGAATACCGGTCCAACCAATGAAGACTAGAACATCAACATTAGGACAACACCAACAAGCAGACGACATAAATTTTTCGTCGCCGAGGACAAGACCTTGGTATCATATTACAGAGGACAATAAGGAAGACGAAACAAACAAATCAGCATGAACTGAAGCGAACACAACTGAATTCCAAGTCCATTTTTACAAGCATGATCGAGCTGGCAATTCCCAGCACCTGCATATCTCCCCGGCTGGCCATAAATTAGTGCACCCAAAAATTTCTGTGCCTCGCTGACACTACAACTGGCCGCTGCTAACACCTGCCTCCTACCTCATGCCTCGCAGTTCCGAGATCCTAGATCTCATGCCTCTGAACAGTACAAGATCTTGGCCATTCCGCAAGCGCTCCCGGAGGCTCCTGATTTCTGCGGCCTCGCTATTCTTGGTTTCCATCCGAGGCTTGAGCCGCTCCGGTCGTCTCTGTTTTCAACTGCACTGGCGGTGCAGGTGCAACAGCCCCTGCACGAATCATGATGATAAGTCAAAGTGAATCACATGGTCATGCTTTGCATGCAGGGCACAGACATGGAGCAGACCTGCCATGTGGTGGTGGGACGACGGTCTCTGTTGCATGGCGTTGGAGACGCGGCGGAGCACGGCGACCTGCGCGCGCAGGTGGACGACGTAGTCCACGGCCTCGCGGAGCAGCGAGGCGCCGTCGAGGAGCTCGCCGCCGGGCACCATCCCCCGCAGCACCTTGGTCCGCTTCCTCACCAGCCTCCTCGCGATCTCGCCGCTGCTCGCCGTCGTCCTCCTCTGGGGACAGCACCTCCTCGCCACCTTCTTCCGCCTCGTCGTCGCCTTCGCCGTGGCTGCAGCCGGCAACCGCCTACTCCACGACGGCGAAGATGATGACGATGCTGCTGCTAGAAGGGCCTGCGGCCACATGGCTCCGTTGCCGCGGGTGGTGGCCATGGCGATGTCGGCGGACGACCGGACGGCGCGCTTCCTTTCTTGCAGGCCCATGGCGCCGTTCCCGCAGGATCTCAGGCTCAGGAGGAAGCTCCTGAGGAACCCCTGCTTGAAGGCCTTGGTGCTGCTGCCGCCAGGTCCCCGCATTGCCGCTGCTCCGCTCGAGCAATGGACTCCTCCTCCTCGATGTCGACGCACTGCCTAGCCAAATTGTTGTGTGCCTGACTCTGACATTGTGTGTGTGCGTGAATATATATCCGCGAGGCGGGGACGAAAAGAGCGGGCGCAAGACGGCATGCCGCCACGCACATGTGGTGTGAGCTAGCATGCGTTGCGGCCATCTGGGCCGTGGTCCTGGGAGTGGCCAATGGCAGGCGTCTTTTGCCTCTTTTCTCATGCAACGCCAGCCTATCCTGTTTAAGCTTGGAAAAAGGTTAACTAGATAGTATCAGGGATTTGCACAACACATGGATGAACAGCTCGGATTGTTTTCAATTGAACATGCGCGCATGTGGCTGACGCTTGAGTTGGGGAGTACAAGGTAGGAGTGAGCATCCCCGTATCTGATTGCTCTGCATTTTGTTATTGCCACTCTGCCATGATCCTTTCGAGAAACGCATGTTATGTATGCGTGCAACATGGCTTGTAAAGTAGAGCATATTATGTACGTACGAATGTGTAGCACAATGCGGGTGCTGAATGTGATCCGTGCTCTTAAACCGTTTTCATCGGTGATCATCGGAGGCTGCGGACGGAGACGTACGGGGGGGCCGGGGCCAAGAGGGGCAGGCAAACAGGACGGGCAGGCGGAGCACATGGCGGCACATGTGGCGTCGCCCCCCGGGTTGGCAACCCCGCGAGTGATGAGGGAAACGTAGGTGCGTTGGCATGCGCATGTCGCCGGCCGGCCGCGCGCGCATGGGCTGTCATGGCTTGGCAGCCGGTTCAGCGCATGCATGGCCGGCCATGTTCCGCCAGCATGTGTAGGCAGGCACCAAAAGCTAGCTAGCTAGCGCAGATGGGACACCCAACGGAACCCCCGCCGCACCGACATCGTCGATGGTAGAAAATTGGCCGATGCCGATCGAGAACGATATCTCGGTGAGAACCGATCGGGTAAATGTAATTCTCTCATCTTGGCATAGGGAGCATCCATGGTGATGGTGGTGGTGGCATATGGAGCCGTCCATGGAATTTTGGTGTCTCTCGAGGCAGAGGGAGGGAGTGTGTCGTGTGTGCTTTTGAGGAAAAGGCAAGGAAGGGGCGGCGTGGGCGCGCTCACATGGCGGCCACATGGGCTTCCTCCCCAAACTCGGCGCGGGCGCACATGAGTCCCCTCCCCCGGCCCTCCGTGTCACGCCGGCCTGATCGCGTGCGCTAGCTAGCTGTACGCGCACAGTACGCCTCCTCCTTGGACCTGCAGGTGGCTCCGTCTTCCTTCCTTTCTCTCGCGCCGTTGCGTGGCTGGGGCCGGCCGGCCGGGGGATGGACGGATGGAGTGGCATGATCACGGAGCACGCGCGCGCGCAAGCGTACGTACCTACACCTACACCCCATGTGAGCTTTAAATTTCTCGGGCTGGTTGGTTTGGTTGTGCGGGGCGGAGATACGCCGGATACGAGGGTATGAGATGAGATGAGATGAAATGCGTGTCCCGGTGTCGCATGCATGATACGGAGTGTATGCAGCAGCAGCAGGCAAATCCTAACAAGAAAGATTTGGGTGGGATTTTCCTGCGAGCAGCGGTGCATGGCTGTGAGGAGGTTTCCGGGCGCAATGTGGATGCGAGAGCTCTGAGATCGGGTGATGAAGACCGTGATCTGGACCTCTGTTCATGTGTTTGTTTGTGTCAGATGGGCCATGGCATGAGATGCAGAGATGCTGCACTTACCGGGAGACTTTTTACAGACTTCACAGAGTAGCAAACGTGGAAGAATAGGATTGGGTTTAAGGGGTGAGAAGGGGCCACCCCTCCTGAAAATCAGTGGGAAGCTAGTTTTGCTAGTCTGTATTAGTTTTGTAAAGGTAGTCTAGCATTTTTGGGGATGAGATGTTGTGCCGGACGGGCCATAATAAGAGCAAAAATGCTAGAACAACGGATCATTACGGGGCTAATACGGGATGCTTCCAACAAACTAATCTTGCCCTGCTGATTTTCAGCGGGGTGGGCCGAGTACCCCAACCAACATCGAATCACAGACTGCCATGTTGGATTGATCCGTAAAACCCAGTAAAACAGTCCGTTGATCTAGCATTGCTCTAGTAATTGTAGCTAGGTTAACTTAGTAGAACAGAATTTTTTTTCTATGTACAAATAGGATTTTTCTTATTTATATATAAAGCAAACCATCACAGCCACAAGGTTCAATACATCACACACACACAAGGTAGCACGACACAAAGTACGGAGTACGAAAGGTTACTGCTGAGGGCAGAGCTCAACAAGCCTTTAAAATAAAAAAAGGCGGGCACATCGCAAATGAAGTGTAACACCCACGATGCGGCTATATCTCCCACGTGTCGAAGCACGACTTAGAGGCATAACCGCATTGTAGGCATGTCGCAAGAGGGGTAATCTTTACACATCCCATGTACTGAATAAGAAAGAGGTACAGAGTTGGCTTACAATCGCCACTTCACACAATACATAAATATAGCATTACATCAACCAGATACAATCAATGTTCGACTACGGAACCAAAATAAAAGAAGACTACCCCTAATGCAAAAGATTCCCGATCGCCCCGACTGGGCTCCAGTACTGATCAACTGAAATGAAACAACACGATGAACAAGATCTTCATCGAGCTCATCCTTGAGCTTGGTTGAGTCACCTGCATGGTATCATCGGCACCTGCAAACTGGTTTGGAAGTATCTGTGAGCCACGAGGACTCAGCAATCTCACACCCGCGAGATCAAGACTATTTAAGCTTATGGGTAGGATAGGGTAATGAGGTGGAGCTGCAGCAAGCACTAGCATATATGGTGCCTAACTTACGCAAAATAAGAGCGAGAAGAGAAGCAAAGCACGGTCGTGAATTAGAAGTGATCAAAAAGTGATCCTGAAACTACTTACGTTCAAGCATAACACAAGAACCGTGTTCACTTCCCGGACTCCACCGAGAAGAGACCATCACGGCTACACACGCGATTGATGCATTTTAATTAAGTTAAGTTTCAAGTTCTCCACAACCGTACATTAACAAATTCCCATCTGCTCATAACCGCGGGCACGGCTTTCAAAAGTTCAAAACCCTGCAGGGGTGTCCCAACTTAGCCCATCACAAGCTCTCACGATCAACGAAGGATATTCCTTCTCCCAGGACGGCCCGATCAGACTCGGAATCCCGGTTACAAGACATTTTGACAATGGTAAAACAAGACCAGCAAGACCGCCCGATGCGCCGACATCCCGATAGGAGCTGCACATATCTCATTCTCAGGGCAACACCGGATGAGCACTCCGTACAACTAAAACCAGCCCTCAAGTTTCCCCAAGGTGGCGCTGCAAAGGACTCTAGTTCAGACCAACACTTAGTGAAGCACTGGACCAGGGGGGGTTTAAAATAAAGATGACCCTCGAGAGAGCGACTCCCAAGGGAAAAGTAGGTGGTAGTGAGGCAAATGGTAAATCCAAGGTTGGGCCTTGCTGGAGGAGTTTTATTCAAAGCGAATCGTTAAGGGGTCCCCATAACACCCAACCGTGTAAGGAACGCAAAATAAAGGAACATAACACCGGTATGACGGAAACTAGGGCGGCAAGAGTGGAATAAAACACCAGGCATAAGGCCGAGCCTTCCACCCTTTACCAAGCATATTGATGCATTAATTAAATAAGAGATATTGTTATATCCCAACAATAACCATGTTCCGAACATGGAACAAACTCCAACTTCACCTGCAACTAGCAACGTTATAAGAGGGGCTGAGAAAAGCAGTAACATAGCCAAACAACAGTTTGCTAGGAAAGGTGGGTTAGAGGCTTCACATGGCAATATGGGAGACATGATATAGCAAGTGGTAGGTATCGCGACATAGCAATAGAGCGAGCAACTAGCAAACAAAGATAGAAGTGATTTCGAGGGTATGGTCATCTTGCCTGAGATCCCACAAGGAAGAAGCACGAGTCCATGAAGAAGACAAACGGACGTAGTCCAACGAATCCTCACAAACGCGACGTTATCGGAACCAACCCGAAGAAGCAACACCGAAAAGAAGCAAACAACATAGTAAACAACCACCACATAGACATGGCATGATGCGCAACCAAGTATGATGCATGTCCGGTTTAATGAGGCATGGCATGGCAAAATGCACAAACAATCCTACAAATTAAATGGAGCTCAATATGCAACTTCGTTGTTAAACATGGCAAGGAAACACCACCTGACTTATTTAGTTCTCTCGTTTATGTACCAAACCAAATTAAATGTTGATTAACATGGCAAGGGGTGAAGCAAATGAAAACTACCTATCTAGGCCAGTTTAAATGAGGCCGGAACAACAAACAACAAGTCCGGAAACTCCTCATGTGCATATTTTAGGTTTTGGTACTGTTCTGCCATAAACCATATTTTATAGTTGTTAAACATGCAAAGCAATGTCACCATGTTAAATTAGGCATTTTTCCACCCCATTTACATATAAAGTTTATTAAATTTGGAGCTACGGTTATTTAGTTATGGAATAAAGCATTTTAACGAGTTATTTAAGCAAATTTAAACAAATAACATTTTAAACATAGATGAAAGTGGCAAATTATTAATCTACACAAAATTCTAAGCAAGTTTCATATATTAAGTTTTTACATGTGATGCTTAGTTTGTGAGTTAAAATATGAATGAAGTTCAAGGGTGTTTCTGCAAAACTGTTGTCTCAGGATTAATTGCTAAAATCACAGACAAGGGAAAAAACACATTGGGCCGAATCTGGTTGGCCCGATAGTGTACAGGAGAGGGAGTGGAGAGGGGCCGCTCACTTTGGGCCAAATCGGGTCGTTGAGGGGGAGTAGCCCACGCGGGACAATGGTGTGGAGCAGGCCGGCGTGGGAAGGCGGCCCAAGGCCTGGTTTGGCGGATCTGGGCCACGCGGAGACTGCACATGTGGGTTGGGGAGGCGCTGGGCTTGGGATCGGAACGAGGCCGGC